CCTTCTTATCCTTCCGTTGTATACTTGTATTAAGAGGGGGGGGGGTTTACTTTTCATATTTTGACTTTAACTTCTTGCTGATATAGCCCTCAGCAGAAGATGCGCCATATAGGATTACTTGTCATGATATTAATATCCCTCCCTCCGTCGTCTCCCGCCCCTGACCCTCCTCTTTCTTCTCTATTATTTAGCTTGTTAAACTCAGACCATCTACTTATATTTCATCCTCCTCATGCTTCTCATCTCCATCGCCTTCTTCCTCCAAATCTGATCACTGTAATTTCTTGTTTGGGTGAGTGACAATGAACCCTACCCCCTTTTGTCCAACATGAACTCCCCTCAACTCTGTTCTTCTACCAAATTCTTATGTGTATAGAGCTATATGTGTTTGCTGCTACTGTTTTATACATATAACTAAAGCAAACATCACAAAGATTAAAAGAACAAACTTCATAAAAAAGCATCCCTTCCTGATAAAACTTCAGCTACTTTAGCCCATTTATGTGGTGACAATTCATAAGGAGCCAATTCATCCACCAAAGTCCAGGCATCCTTCTTTGTGTCATGATCTAGATGATTGTGCCATCTATAAATGTTTGGAAATTATCATGATCATGAACCCATATTTTGAAGCCAAGACATTTTTCTTTTTTAATGTCTGACAAGCTAAAGTTGCAGGTGGAGAGAGAGGAGACGTGGAGAGGTCGGAAGACGCAAGAAAAGAGGAATCAAGGAGGAAAAAAAGAAAGTGTTATGCACGTGTGTTATAGCCTCTTAGAAATATTCTTAATTGGGTCAGACCGCACAAAAATTATTTGTGTATTGATATCCTAAAAATATTGTTTTTGTCCTAAATTTATCGTTCATTAATTACCACCGACCATCTTAATATAATTTCAATCGTTGGTTACTAGGAGTATTTCAGTAAAACAACGTTATATGTGTACTCCAGATAATAATTCATAAAATGTCAAGTATGTATTTCATATATATATTATATTTATATATATCTAGATAATGCTTTAAGGATTGAAATGGAGGAGAAAGAAACAAGTGATATTGTGCTTGTAATAATTAGTCAGCAGAATTACATTATTAAATGCATATACAAGAATTACAAGAACTTTGGTGGCTCCTTGAAGAAGGAAATACCGGTGAATATCTCAGGAACAAGGTTTCCATAACGAATAGTAACCCATTTTATACAGAGAGAATAAAGCAAGTCATGCGGTTCATAATATTCAAACAACACAGATTACAGTTGCAAGCATGAGAAGAGATCCTTGCTTTTCCCATGTTGCACAATCAAAAGAACTCAGCTTGTAAATAGTCTTAACTAATATGTAAGTTGATTTCACATCTAACGAACGATTCAGTGTACCAATCATTATTAGAGGAATGACAAGGAGAACATAGATTGAGCGAGCAGGAAATTAGATGCAATAATGCAACACATCAAACAGATTGGCCAAGTCATGACCAGGCAAATGTCGCATTCCCACGAGCGTGTGATATGGGTCTGATGAATAAAAGAAGTAGAGTATTTCCTAATTAGACTCGATTGTCTGCTTGTTGTTGGTGGGACTAATTAGACTCGAAATGCAGCCCATTATATATGGGATTTGAATGTCTAATTGTGGGGATGCAGAACATAACCCTGCAAAAATACAGAGGAGTTGGTGTTTGTGTTGAAGATGAAGGAAAGCAAAGAATATATGGCTGAACAAACGAAGATAATACAACTGGTCATTTGTGCTTAATTAAAAGGTTTGAATCCGCAGCGCGTCTCTCCTTTTTCTCTTCTAATACAACAGCTGGCAGTGACAAGCCAATACATGCTGTGTACCTTCAATTACGCTTTTCTCCATTTAATCTTTCTTTTCCTTCTTCATTGGTCACGTAATGAGTTGTATCAAAGTCAATGCTTGAGACTTGCAGCGCCAAAATAGCGTCATATTTATATGCTTTTTATGTTATGTTCTAAGGTAAGGTGTGGACTGTGGAGGAGACTCCGCTGGCATATATATTCATCGTTTAATATTTAATACATGTGTACAATGCTACGTACGTGATTTTATTCCTCACTCGTGTGAATTTTGATCTCATTACAATACCGTCCAAAGCAATAATGAGTTTAAAAACCGACCTCATATGTTAAACAAGATCATTAGCCAGCAGAATGGACAATGCTATTTTTAAATATTATTATGCGCATATATACCGCATCCAAGAAACAGCCAAGCAGGTATCCTAATGTAAAGGGATCAAGATTGAAGTACTTTTTTTCTGGCAGCATATCGCAATTACAGAATCATGGACTGGCTTAATTCGTAAGAATAATCCCACTGAATAAAAGTCGTTGTGGGGGACGCTATTATTCAGCGATGCTTAGTTTTAGACAGCTGGATGCAACGGGCTTTGGCGCTCTGGGCCGAGGCACAGGATGGTAGTTATCAAGTTGTCTTTTTAAAGTTTGGACAACGTTGCCAAAAGCCTTTCTAATCAATCAAAGTGTTGAAAATATAGGCACTGGGAACTCAGAAACAGGGGAGAGATGGGATTAGGTGGGGGGGTTTGGTTGATATCCTTAATGGGGAAGCGTGAGTGGGACATGAGTGCAAACAGACTTGGCTCAAGCCTCATCACTGCTAGTTCAGAAGCAATCATCGTTGCTTGTCCACCAATCTTAAAAGCTTCTTTCCTTTTTGTCTTTGGGCAGCCAATAGTGTTAACGAATCACCCCGCTTGCCACCCAAGCCAACTCACCCTCCCTTTCCCTTCTTTTCCGCTTCCTATCCTTATCACCATTATTTATGCCAGCTCCTGTCAAACTGCAACTCAGTCATTGGTCCTGGTATAAAACAAATCCCCCCCCCCCCCACCCCAACAAAACATAAAATTATAAAACAAAATAACATGATCACAGAGCACCAAGCCGATCCACTTCAATTTTTAGAAAAGCAGCCATTCACTTTCTATATATCTTAATCCTCCTGTAGTAAAACACCGTACTTTTACTCTGGGTAAAGAAAGGGGAAATTTCCGAAAGTGCAAAAGACAAATGCCACCTGTTGCCACCGATGCTACCACAGAATCAGAAAAAGGCATGCGAAAAACTCTTCCCACTGTAATACTGCTGCTAAGCAGGGCGGTGTAGAGCGAGGAGACCGCGTTCCCCCACAAGCGTGTGTCCCTTTATTCTTTCTTGTCTGAGCACTCCACAGCGTTGAAATCATATTGTCTGTCTTCTTATTTATTTTAATTAATATCTCACTTTATAAAACCCTTTTACTTCTTTACTCTTTGAAACATACTTCTTATCTTTCTCCTCCTCCTCCTACTCTTCCTCCTTTCTCCCTCTACTATTTATTTCATGCCTCTCCTTCCCTTCCACCTTCGTCAGAACTCACACGACACCGCAATATGGCTTTCTTCCTTGTCTTCTCTCCCTTCTTGTTTCTCTGTGCCACCTCCTTCTGCCACCGGTCTTGCGATCGCTCCAATCCAAGGCCGCCTACTTCTCTTTAATCCTCTCTCTTTCCTGTAATATCCCTTCTCCCTGTCCGATTTCATAATGAATTATCATATATCTGAGAGGTATCTTTGTATGCAGCTTGGGGCGTGCTTGTATGGCTGGCGTGCTTGGCCGTGGGATTGAGCGGTGGACGCCTGGCAGCGGCGGTGCCTTCTGTCTACAAAGATGGCGCCGCTTGTGGTGCCTGCTTTCAGGTGCGTCCTTCAACTTATGTTCCTCTATCGATTTTCTTTTGTAGTCATCTGCATACCGTCCTCCTGAATTCATAACATTTCTGCAGATAAGATGCAAGAACCCGAGTTTGTGCACAAAAGAAGGGACTACCGTGGTCGTCACCGATCTCAACAACAACAATCAAACTGATTTCGTGCTCAGCAGCAGAGCCTTCGTGGCCATGGCTAATAAGGGTATGAGCCAACAAATTTTGAAGCTCGGAATTGCCGACGTTGAATATAAGAGGTGAGCTTTTTCATCAATTCATCTTCACTTGGTATTTAAGTCTAGATGGAGTTCATCTTTTCTTAATTCAGTCCCCTTTTCCCCGGGCCCACCAGGATGGCACGATGATCATCTACATTAATAGCAGTAACGGTCTGAAGTCGTATAATATCAGACATATCTAAGGCAGCGGATGCGAAGCCATAAAAAACTAGTTTTATAATATCAGATTATCTAATGGGATTTCAAAGTTTGAATGGGTACTTGTAGCAGTGACTTATGGGAATTTCATTATAGTCAAACTAATTTATGGTGTGTGGAGCAGAGTACCATGCGAGTACAGAAAACGGAACCTGGGAGTACGGGTGGAAGAATCGAGCAAGAAACCGAACTACTTGGCAATTAAATTTCTGTATCAGGGAGGTCAGACGGAGATAGTGGGGGTGGATGTGGCTCAGGTAAATAAGAAATGTGGAAATGCCTGAGCAGAAGGCTTGAAATGAGTAAAGAAATGTGTGAACTAAAAGGGTTGAATGTTGAAACAGGTGGGGTCTTCGAACTGGAACTTCATGAGCAGGAAGAATGGGGCCATATGGGCGACGGATCGGGTGCCGGCGGGTGCATTGCAGCTGCGGATAGTGGTGACGTCAGGGTACGACGGGAAATGGATATGGGCGCCCAAGGTGCTGCCTCAGGACTGGAAGGCTGGCCTCGTCTACGACTCCGGTGTTCAGATCACCGACATCGCCAAACAGGCCTGTTCTCCCTGCGACGATGGCTCCTGGTCCTGATCCCGTTTCTTCTTCTTCTTCTTCGCCATTCTCACCCACATTCTTATTCTTTTCCAATTTTACTTGATAACAATAATATATTGTGATGTTCATATTGTAGTATAAACATTGGGTTTGATCTCTTGTTTCACCACCTCACTAGTCACAAGCAAGCAAAGGTCAAAGGCAGTAATGCAGTGTATAGAATAGGGAGGCGGGTTCATGTTGTAGTCCGGAATGCGGATTGAGACCACAGTTGGGCCCATTAGAACAAAAAGGGCAAAGACGGCCTCAACCCAAAAACCAATTAGCTTTCGTTTTAGGCACTGTGTGCGTCCTAAAACCCATGAAACCATGTGCCCTGTACACTTGTTTCTGTATTCAAATTACTCCAGCCTTGGATTTAGATCACGTGCTCCTATCAGATAAATGCATTTGAAACTCGTCCGAAGAATAGTGAATCTATAAGTTAAAAAAAAAAAAGAAAGAAAAGGGAATAGCGAATTTAAGTGAAATACGTTGGAAAAAGAAGAAGAAGAATGTAAGTGAAAACGGCGCCGTAACCATGACTGGGGCTATCTGCTTCGCCCATTGTCAAAAATGATAATCTTGCCGCCAATATTCAGTAGTTAAGTGGAGAGGAAGTAACGGTCATTAAATAAAGTCATCAATTCAAATCTTATGAATTACTTTTGGACCAACGAAAAGGCGGAGAGGAATGCCCACTAATTATCGGAGCCTTTTGCTGGCCCGGCCCACTAAACAATTCTCGGCCCACCATATCGTTCCCAAGATTCTTTCGATAACGGCATTCATAAACCGTGGCCTCTCGGTTTGCAGCTCACGCATCCAAGCACTAGGTGCCGTATAAAGCCAGCTCGAATATAATTAGGGTTTAGTTAATGAGCAAAATATAAATATTTCAATAAATTCGTGCAATGTTTTGAACCTGCGCGTATCTCTATTTGTTGTTCTGTTCATCTTTTAAGGCAAAATTCTCATCAATGGAAAAATCATTCAAGCATAATAGGGTTGTGGTCAAGCACACATGCCACGTCATGCCAGGGAACAAGGCTGTTCATTTTTTTCCTACTTCTTCTGTGACTGCAGTGTTTTTCCAAATTCAAAAGGGAGAATTACAATTAGGTCTAAGAAAGAAAAATAATTATTAAAAAATCTTAATAACAACCTAAATAATATGTAATAATAAATTTGAATAAAAATTTTAAAATAAAAAAGGACAACTTTTAAATTTATTTTGTAATTTTTTAGGCACTTCGTTGTAATTCTCCCACTCAAATTTGTCTTGATATTACTTTTTCAAGGTTCGTACGGCTCCTTAAATAGTACAAAATGTCGCGTTGGGTTGGTTCAGACAACCACCTATTGCCAATTTGTGATGGCCCACGCGAGTGGAGGAAAGAAAAGCACGGCATGCCTTGCCTCGGGAGATTTTGGGCCTGTTTATTTTTTTTTTTTCTTGTTCTTAAAATAATCTTATAAAATTGTTTTTAGCAAGCTTTGAAAATAAGAAAACAAAAGAGTTTGTTTGGATAATAATTTTTAAAAAAATCTATAAAAAATAATATGTTGTCGTTACTAATAATAAGTGGTGGATAGTAGGTTAAAAGATAAAAAAATTTCTCAAAACTTTTCAAAACAAAAAATAAACACAAAAAAACAAAAATAAGAAAACATTTAAAAGTTTTTTTGGTTTTTTTATTTTTAAAAACATGTTACTGCTTTGTTTTTTAAAACAATCAACTAAAAACAAATTACCAAATAAGATTTTTTGTGTTTAAAAATTCATTGAATTATTGTCATCTAAAAATTTATGATAAAATCCTGCATAGTTTAAGTAGTGACAATTTAAGTCATATTATGATGAATCAGCATTATCATAAGCATCGCATTTTCTTGCATACGTATGAGATATATTTATGCATAGAGACACACATACGTGATTTCTGTTTCTAAACATTGGTTGGAGGCAACCTCTTTGATTAATGTCGTGAGTGTGGTGAAAATAACATTATATTTGGGCACATCTAGATGATTGATGAATTGGAAAAAGAAAAAGAAAAAGAAGAGGAGGAGAGGACATTCGAGGAAGTAGCAGATGGGAAGACTTCGATAAGGTTGAGGAGAAACTTGTTCGCAGGTCTTTGCATGACGACTTCCAAGTCAAACGCTCCATTGTCCCCACCCTGCCCCACTAATTCTATTATTATTACTCTTCCGATCCCTAATATAAGACCCATTTAATTAATTTGATTAGATTAAGGAAGTTAGGTAAGTTAGTTAATTATAAGAAATGTGTCATGTTTTTCCTAAAATACCATAATCATCTTTTTAATACCTTATCTTCCTCTTCTATTTGATTGTGGTTGAGGGAGTATCTATAGGAATAATTTAGAGAAATTGATAAATATGATAAATGGGTCTTATATTTAGAACCAAAACTAACTCAACAATTAGGTCTTCTATCAAGGACCGGAGGAATATTATTATTCTCTTCCTGTTATATATATATATACACATTTCAACACTTTGGCCGTCAAATGAACATGAAGATAATAATGCGGAAAACGCGTCGTGGTTGCTTTTGAATTCACCATCGTATTCATGGACAAAGCAAATTGTGTTATTGTTTGCTCCTCTTGGTCAGTGGTCACTCACTTGACCGCTACGCCCTTACGGCCGCTTTGACCATACTGCCCGCCTCATTACCAATGCCATGTGACTGCCCTTTGCATTTCGTTCCATGTTCAAGTGATTATTATTTCTATATTTAATCTCCTCCTTCATTTAATTATATATATATGTCTGTTTCATCTATTTTGGTCATTAAGTCAGATGCCTACCCAGCCTGGGAAACAACATGTGACTTAAGAAAAAGTAAACCAAAGAATTGAAAATTTGAGGAGAGAAAAATATGATGAAAATGAATTTTAAAAAAAATTCATGAGATGTGGGGGGAGAAAGAGAGAGATATCTAGATATAAACATCACTCATGACTAGGCTGGCTTCCTCTGAATTTAGTGTGTCGATATTGATAGATTAATTCAAGAACCACAATAGTATTTTGTTTTGGCTGGAGGAATTGAAGAACCGCGGTAATTGGTTACTAATCTAATCGAACACGTGTCAGATGGGAATTTGTGCTGATATTCCATTCCCATTAATAAGTAATAACCGCTTTTTCCTTGTCTCACACACATCTCCGACAAAATGGAATGAAGTCTATGAACCGAAAAACTACCAACAATTGTGTGAAACCTTGACGCTTTGCCCATGTATAATAATTGAACCTTCTTCTTCTTTGACTCTTTTTGCATACCAAGTTTGTTGCTTGTGGCACTTTTTCTCCTGGAAAAGAATCTGCGAAAAGGACGCGACCAGGTCAAGAACTCTAGATCAATAATGTTAACAAGGAAATTCTAGAGGGTTGGATATTATACTGCCAAGGTAGTAGTGGATTTTGCATTAGTACGTCCTCGTTAAATATGCTTACATATATATATATATATATTGGGAGTAAAAAAACCAATTAAAAAGCGTGTAATAGTGGAGGAAAGGAAAAAGAAGATTTGTGGCAAATAAACACAAATTTGGCTCAAACTTGTAGGGTGAATGAAGGGTCCGGATTGCAAGAGAAGCAAAGTCGAATGAAAAAGGCCGAGACTAGCTTCGTTTTCCGCATCCGTCACTTACAAATTAAATACTGTACATGTGCGGCTCTTCGCCTCTTGATACACTTCTTCCTTCCTCAAATCTGGTTTTATTACTCATCTGGATCTAATTATAAAATCCTATTATATATATAGGTTAGCAACGAAAAAGTAATTTAGACGAATGAATTTTGATCTCTTTGTCCAGTAAAAAGAACAGAATTGAGGAAGAGGGAATTAATTGGCGAGTAAAAGTCGTAATTCGTAAAGCGATATGCCAATGCCGTGTGGATCCCACCCCCCAGAAGGGTTTTCCTCTCCTCTCTGAGGTTTTTTCCCTCACCTCGCTCCCTTCCCTTTCCTAGAAGGTTTTCCTTTTTAAAAAAAAATAATAATAATAAAGAAATAAGCAAATTTAAATATACATTGTTTATTGCTACCTACGTACCTACATGTCCTTATTCAAAAGCCATTGCAACGATGAATATTGCGTGCTCGTTACTATAATGAAATAAGAAGAATCATTCAAAATTTGATTTGACACTTTAGATTTAAGAGCTTTTAATCTGTAATTTTTTCCAATAAGAAATTTACTTTTTAAAGAAGTCAAATATAAGATCATGTTTATTTTAAAATTTTATATCTATAAAAAATAAAAATTATTTGAAACATAAAAAAATTGAGTTGAATCTGAACGATCCAAAATTAATGTCGATGGTCCGAGTATTAAGATGAGCACTACATGCTCATTTTAAGATCACTATGGAATGTGCTGCTCTGTGCGCACATACATACATGTACTCCGCCGTTGTGTTTGAGTGACTTGTGGCCTCTTAAATAGGAGTGTACGGAAAATAAATTGCATTGAATTAAAAGTATATATATTGCAAGCATAAAATTTAACCAATCATGCATGCACAGACACATCAGGTGAGGTAAATTATGGAGTATAATTGTCTGTTTTTTAAATGCAGATCGAAGGAGAAGGGTGGCCAGGAGAGGGGAGACGAGGTCAAGCTTTTCAAGTACGGGACTGGAGAGAGGACCCACCACTCAGCGCCTTCGCGTTATGCCCTTATAAATACTCTTGCGCATGCCATCTCCCATCCAACCCATTCTCTCTTCCTTCCCTCTCTTACCATTTACCTCTGCCTTCCATACACGCACCAGAATATATATTAATATGGGCGATAATATGCAGTTGCCGGGCTTCCGGTTTCACCCCACCGAAGAAGAACTCCTCGATTTCTATCTCAAGAATATGATCACCGGCAACCAGCTCTGCCTCGACATCATCCACTTCCTCAACATCTACCTCCATGATCCCTGGGATCTCCCCGCCATGGCCAAGGTCGGCGAGAGAGAGTGGTATTTCTTCGTGCCCAGAGACAAGAAGCAGGGAGGCGGCGGACGCCCCAACCGCACCACCCAGAAGGGCTTCTGGAAGGCCACCGGCTCCGACCGCAAGATCCTCAGCCACTCCCATCCGAAGCGCCTCATCGGCCTCCGCAAGACCCTCGTCTTCTACCAGGGAAGGGCTCCCCGCGGCTGCAAGACCGACTGGGTCATGAATGAGTACCGCCTCCCTGACACTCTCAACTTCCCCAACAAGGTACGCACCCGCTTGTACTGCTTCTTCTTCATTATTCACTTTCATTCCACTCAAATGAGCAATATATCGTGACGACTCATAATTTACACTTTGATCCCTTATACACCAGGACGCCGTAGTTTTGTGCAAGATATACCGAAAGGCAACATCCTTGAAAGTGTTGGAGCAGAGGGCGTCGCTGTGCGAGTCCTCCTCGTCGTCCATGGCCACCAAGACGGAGAAAACGGAAGAAACCGTGGAGCTGGCGGCGGTGCCTAAGCTGAGCCTGCCGGAGCTGAAATTACCCATGAACACAGGGTGGAGCCAGGACCCGTCCTGGCCTCAAATAAACAGTCCTTGGCTCCAGTGTTTCACTCCTCTCACCATTTCCAACCTCTTAAATTGTTAACCCCGCCGCTTTATTTCATTGCATGTGCATCTGTCGTCCTCCCATTCTATCTGCTCCATCTTGTTTTTACAGTTGATATTACATGGATTCGATGGATCTCATTGATCCAAGCAGCTCCATGTTTTTGAATCTATGTACGTACAAGACTATAACCATATATACCTGTAACGAAATGCCTACATATCTGCAATTTGCAAACTTAATTACTATCTTCGGTTCTATTAATAAAACCTCGTTTGTAGAATATAAACGAGGTTTTATAAATAGGAGCAGAGGTAGTATTTGTGAGTGTGGCAGCGCTTCGAGTGTTTCGTCTGCAATTGCTATGAATGTTGAGTGGATACTCTATCTCAAAACACACAAAGCTGGAATGAATTCAATTCTGTGTCACCTGAATGGCAAAAAATGAACAAGTATACACATCTCAGCACCTTTTTTTTCATCTAAGCTTAAGGTTATATTTTGATTTTTTTTAATTTAAAAAAAATCGTCTCAATATAGAGGAAATGTTGAAGGTTCATGACCAAGAAACTGACAATGCGCTTGCTGTTAAGCACATGGTGCATATATGTCATGTAAGACATATTTCCTAAATTTACTGCATGACTGCTGTGTCTGGCCCGTTTTATGTTCCAAATTCTATATTGACCTTACTTTCTTTTCTCAACTAAACGTCCTGTTCCGTTGACTTACGTCATATTTGGATGGAGACAAAATGGGGAGGAAAGAAAATGAAGGAAGAAAATAGGAAAAGAAATTGGTTTTCCTCTGTTTAGATGAGAGGAGAAAAGTGAGAAGAAGAAAAAGTAAGAGAGAAAATGGGATGTGGGATCCACTTTATTTTCTCTCCAACTTTTCTCTCCACATATGGAGAGAAAATGAGAAGAAAACTCATATTCCCCATATGTCATTCTCAAATTTAATGCAAGTTTTTCTTTTTAATTTTACTTATGACTACTTCATAATTCAACAAAATTATCTCATTATATTGTGGCCAAAATCAAAAGCTACACATGAACATTCTTTCACATTCAAAGAACAATGCAAGAAATTCGCACAAATTAATATATACATCTCTTTCAACTTTTATATTAAATTTTCACTATTTATTAATAATCTTAAATAATACGTAATTTATTTATATCATTTTATTATGTTTGATTTTAAAAAAACTATCCTTTTTTTTAATTTTCACCTTTAAAAAGAATTTTTTACTAAATTATTTGGTTTTTACAATATAATCACATGGTAATAAATTTTTATCAAATAATTTGATTTTAAATTATTTAATGATATTAACACTAATATGATTTTTCTATTATGATATTTAATTTAATTCATAACATGATTTTTTTTTTTTGGTGAATTCATAACATGATATATTTTGATATAAGAATAAGGGTATTTTAGTCATTCATATATTTAGTTATTTTCTTTCCTTCTTATTTTCTCTCGTCCATTCAAACAGAAAGGTTTTCTCTCCAGTTTTCTTTTCTCTCTGTTTTCTCTCCTTCTATTTTCTTTCCTCCCAACTTTTTTTCCTATCCAAACGGAGCATTACAAAGTCACTTTTTAATGCAAATTCAAGAGTTTGAAATACGACTTTACGAAGTAGAGAATAATGAACGATAATATAGTATTCTCAGTTTCAATTTTAAAAAAGAATATACTCTATGAAACAACAATGTCTTGTGAGGGAGCAAAGGGATGTGCAAATTTCTTTCAATTTGATAGATAAGCACACAAGATGTGGTGGGGTTACATTTACTCTAGTGATTATCTATATACTATAATATAAAATCTACATGAAATTATATTATCCATAAGTTATAATAATCTTTTTTTTAAAAAAAATATAAGCAGGGCACGATACTTGGAGTTGATGCTACATCTTGAAGTGAAAATCTGAAGGCAATGAATTCATGGGGGGATAGACACCCATTTGCGCATTCCATTACTAATAATACTCGTAGGCCCTGTTGGTATGCTGAAAAGTTTTTTTGGATAAAATAATGTAAGTGGGGTTTAAACACATTTCCAAAAAATAATGAATAGTTGATATAGTTTTTATTTTATTGTGTATAATCTATTGACGAAATGAAAGATTTAGAACGTCAAAAGACTGAAAGAGCAAAACATCCATAATTCAAAAGGAAAAAAGAGAGAAGATGCGATGAAGGCGTTGAGAAGAAGACAGTGTGAGCGAGTGATGGAGAGGAAGTTCCCCATTTGCAATCTCAGCTATCCTCCGCGGAGCGCATTGTTGTCGCTGCTCGCTGCTAAGTGAGCCTGACTCGGAGTCTCCATCATTCTACCCCTCATTCTTTTTTCATCATCCCAATTTCTTAAATATTTTTTATTTCTTTTTATCATTATATCATACGCAAAATAAGTAATAGTATAGGATAATATACTTTTAATTTTTTATTTTTTTAAAAAAATAAAACTGAATCCAATAATCAAAATAAAAAAAACTCAAGAAATACTTGGAAATCTGAGACATTTTAAAAAGGCATTAGAGGCCATGGGAAAAAAAGACATAAATAAATGACGGGTTGACAATAATCAACTATCAACTATCAATCAATCAACTATATTCTTAAAAAGCTATAATAGCCAATTCATTTAAAACAAGTCAGGTATAACATTATGTCATTCAAATAAATTTAATTAATAAGATTTAAATAATATTTTAATTAGAATGTTTGTATATTGAATTAAAAGAAGAGCATCATTATTAAAAAAGATTTCAATTGAAAACTGAAATGAAAAAATTAATAATTAATTTTGAATTTGAATATCTTAATTAGAATTTCAGTATATTAAATTAAATAAAAAATATCATAATTAAATAGTATATCAATTGAAAATTTGAATGGAGAAATAAAGAATTAATTTTAAATTTTTATACGTTCTTCCCAATTTTTGAATCTCCAATACAAATCTCATTTGAATAAATAAAAAAAAATCACACATCTATAAGAAATGAATCTTAAACTATCTTAAATAATATAATTTATTATAATTTAAAATTTAATTAAATATTCTAATTCATGAATCAAATAGGAAAAATTTTTCTAGTTTTAAAAGAAATTAAATCTATGCGTTACTGCTCCTCTAGTCCTATTTATAAAAAAGAGAGATAACACATTTTTCAGTCCTATTTATAAAGTAGTGAGAGAAATTTTTTATATAGATCTATAATTTTACCATCATATTAACTTTATTTATATAAAATATAATGTACATTCAACAAGAATAAAGTTAAAAAAATTGTTAAATTATAAACAAGTCAATAAAATTTAAAATCTTACTTGGCCTATATAAAACGTATTGAAAATAACTTACAATATCAAAAGAGTATAATGGGCAGAAGACCAGATTTCTCCACTCATCAGCCTACAACCAATTAACCATTTAAATCTGTTTCCACTGCCATTCAATATAATTAATAAATATATATAAAAATCTGGAACAATGACATGCCTCAAACCATCTAATCAACAACAATAATAATAAAAAATCTGTTTGAAAGTCTAGATATCCGTCTTCCATAAAGTGAAAGTCCAAAAATGCCCCGCGTCTCAGACATCTTTATTCACTATCCGGAACGGGTGTCCAAGGGCAATCTGTACAATTTAAGTCGGTGAATATTTTATGGAAGCAACATACTCATACAAAGTAAAAATAAATAGTTAAATACTTATCACCTAGAAACTCTGGCGACTTGCGTCACTCCAAGTAGGCCCGAGTCGGCCATGTTCATCAGGCATCAGACTTCTCCTAGAATCGCTCGTTTAATTTTGGCCCACTGCATGCTCATTGGGTTTCTCGTTTGGACGACATGTCCCGATCCCACTCTGCCATCACAAAACCTGAACACCGCCAATTTCGTAAAGGACGTTAAAACTCCTCAGTCTTCCATGCAAACTTCTACCCCTTTTGGGCTTTTTACCCTTCAACAAGCAACATCAAAAATTCAGACACAGGGTAGGCGTTGCCACAGCTCTGTAGCTCAGGCAGACAGCTCAGCTTCCCCCGGAAGATTCCCTCCAGTCCCTACCTCCCGGTCACTTCACGTGCTGCGCTTTGCCTGTTTTCCTTGAATGCTCTCCGTTCGGTCCTTCCCTCTGTCTCTTCACTATGTTATGCCGATATCCAATTTCATTGTCCCAGTATCTAAATGTAAGTAGACAGTGGACACTTTCCATCACCTGGCAATAACTGTATTGCTGAAATAAGTGAACTTCATACCAAACCTGTCCCCATCCCAAATATATGTTCTTGTAGAGGAAAGCTATTAGCGGGAAGTCAACACGATTCTATCCCTGATAACAGATGTAGTTCCAAATTCCATCAAACCATGCCACCCTACGAAACTGTTCCATGCTCCCCAGCAGCGCTTTCCTCTACACTTCTTTGTATTAACTCCTCATATGCTCTCACAGAGTTCTCAGTAAATCTCTCCATGGCCTCAAAAATGCGCTGCAAGCTAGCCTGTAGACTGCTGCTTTTATCACTCTGATATATAATATTTTCGGAAACTGAGAGACCCTTACCGTCACCGGATGCCAGAACCATTTGCCGCTCTAATGCTTGAATTTGCTTCTGTATCCTCTGATCATCTTTATCTAAATGTTTGACTTTTCTCTCAAGATCCTTGTTAACCATCAACTGCTGGTGCATTTCTAGCCTATCTTGTTCCCATATCTGAAGCACACTCATGGTCAACACACGCATTGAATCAACCACTTCTTTTTCAGATATTCTCTCTAATGCTTGGGACCACTGATTACAGATTACAAATATAGGAGGAGCACCGATTCTACTGGGGGAGAAGGGGACTATGCCATCAGGTGTTTCTTCAGGCTCATATAGGAGACACCTTAGAAGCCAATTATTCAATGCTCTAACATAACCCTTCTGGGCGCTAACCCAGCTAGAAAATTGGAAAGTCCAATTGATAAGTTCTTGTTCAAGCTCCTTTGTGGCTAAAAGATGACCATCACCATTCTTCTTTCTGGATCGAATGGAACCCAATATTCTGGCTTCTCTAATTGCTTCACACTGATTACGGTGGCACTCAAGCATGGATTTCCACATCCTTGTCAACCTGATTAAGAAGAATGTAAACGTATTTCATCAACAAACAGTGAAATGTGTAGATAAAAAAAAATCCGAAACTTAATGACTACATGACAACATGAGCATGCAGCAACTTATTTATAATCACTCTGATAAACACTGATTCCCAATTAAGTAGCACAATCACTGCCTCTGTCTTGCTTCCTTGTATGGTGATCAACCTGGTAGTGTTGTCATTCAATACAGAGGGATAATTGCCAAACCACCCACCCCAAAAAATAAATAAATAAATAAAAGCCGCCCCTTAAGTTGTAAAAATATCCACAGTACAATATCAAACAATAAGTCCCCAGTCATATTAAGTGCCACATTCTTGATAAACCCGTCTAATCATTCTGGATAACACCTTAATATCCAAACTTTTCTTAACGAGCTCCAGGTAAAGCCATTTCTAGACAAATTTCTTCAGGGTTCAAACCATTTCCTTACAAAGGAATGAAGGATAAGTTTCTTTGTCCAACTGAACATACAAAGAAATTTGGACGGGCTAATACAGTATGTAGAACAGAAAATAAAATGGGGTTGTGGACCTTCATTAGAGGTAGTAACAAGTCCAGTGAAAATTTATAAGAAATAATGATGGATAAACCAGAGACTTGCTTCCATCAGAGATCATTTAATGCAACCTTGTTTAACAACTCCATTAGCACCCATGGCAAAAGTTCACCACCTAGAATGCAGCAATAATCTCATTGTTCTACTCTTATTGCCCCAAATTAGGAGTCATATTATCTGGTCAAAATGTGAATCATGTGTTATGACAATCAAGCAGTTTCCATTGACGTTATAATAAGGAAAGGGATGAAAAAATATGACAACCGACATCAGTTCAAATTATGAGAAGAAATTACTCCCAACATATAGTCATTTACCAATCCAAGTCAAATTTCTAAAAAGTTGCCCCTAACTCGACCCAGAAAAATTTTTCAAGGCTCAAAAAATACCAGATAGCCAACCACCAATAGAGACAACAATAAACCATATAAACAACAGGACAAGAAGCTCATAACTTCACATACCCATGGATTAATTCATTCAGCTGAGGCCACAGCTCTTCATCCCTGATCTTGTTTATCGTCATAGAAATCCGATCAACAACCTGAATTGCCATTCTTATTTTTGCGGACAGACTCCTTACTAACGTTTGAGTTGAGTCAACTTTGTGAAAATCAGCACCCCTTTCATCCATACGCTTCAGCTTACGACACTTCTTATCATGCATGACCCGCATCTTTTCCTCAGCCTGCAAAGACATAAGCATTAAAAGAACACCCTTAGAAAATACAAGCAATGATTAACAATAGTACATTTCAGTATATTGCCGCAGAAAGTGGTCATAAGAAATCAGATGAAAGCACAGGTACAATACATATTACACTACACCACGAAGTTAAATAATCTGATAGGGGGATTGAATGCAAATTAAATCTGATTGGTAAATTGAAGGTCCACGTCCATCAGAAACAACACAAAAATACTGACATAAAATCTATCTAGAGAAAATCATGGACTTTAAGACATAAAAGAGGCGTTCTTCTAATTGTCTTCATTTGCAGGTAACACAAGGGCAGACACAATTACAGAACAACGGGCCATGAATTTCATCCCACCCAAGTTTGGTGTTCATATCAACGAAATTATTAGAGCTCAAAATTATTACCCCTTCGTTGGTCCCTAAACACGCACGGACGAATATACGTATTTCCAGCTTAGGTACAAACCTACTAGAAAATTAAACTAAAACAAATAGAACCAATATGTCATACAAAGTTAAAGAAAATATTTATAAATTAAATTAAGACAAAGATAAAAATAAACTATGAACCAGATATCACATACCTTGACTTCATCATAGAGTTTCTTCTCCCAAAGATAAAGCTTCTGCAATGTAGAAGAAAGATTGCGTGATCGCATCATTATATCGCCATCAAAATCCAAGTTACTAGGACCAGCCTTGTCAATGGCGGATGTAGATTCAGCACTTTTAGAAGTAGAAGGTTGCGAAGCCACCATGGACAATGAGGGAGCAACTGCATGCAACATCTTGGAAGAAGCTGCTTTATCAAGTTCGGTTGCACGCATGATCCAGGGGCCGGAAAAAGAGTTTCAAGTCAGCAATAAAATAAAATTCAAGTCATAAATTTGAACAAATGAATCCATCGACCTGTGTTGTCAGGCACAAATCTAGGCATGACAGCTCACAGAATTTACACGAACATCCAAAGATCAAAGCACGATAATAATTAAGGATAAGCGAAACAGAGAAACTGAAAATAAGCTAGACTTAGTGGACTTGCGGAAGAGAATCAAATCTCTAACCTTGATAAGCGCCATACTTTTTATTGTAAGGAAGCTTCCCCGCCTCAAGCATCTTTGCAATCTCGGTGCCCGACTCAGATGCCCTCCGGAACTGAACCTCAATCTCTCTGGCTACTTCAAATGCATCCCGTGTGCCACTGCGGCCTCGGAATGCAGCACCTCCACCCCGCTCCTTAGACCTCTCGTCGCCATCAACGACTTTCTTATCTACCACATGCACCTCATATTCCACCCCATCATTCTCCATCGAAACACTCGGCCTGTTCTGGTAAACTGAAGCCTCTGTCCTGTCAACTTCGTCGTTTTCTGAGGGCTTCGAATGATTTCCAGCACCCCCATCCACGAACTTTTGATCCCCATGCACTTCTTTAACGACTTCGTGTTGGTAATCCTCGTCTTCCAAATCAGGAATGCCCTCTTCCTCTCTCACTTCCTTTGAGTCCCGACTAGGAGTGTACTGATTATAGTATCTATCATCATTATCAAAAAAGTTGAGAAAATCCCAAGTTGAAGGCCTTGGCGGTGATGGCGGAGGTGGTGGCTTGGATGTGGAAGCAGCCGGCTGCGACAAGGAAGACCCATAAGGAGGAGGGGAAGCAAAATACCCATTACCCCCACCGGCATAAGTCGGATATCCATCGTGGGGATAAAAATTAGGATGCATACTGGGGTGCGGATAAGGGTAAGAGGAAGATGAAGATTCGCCCATATAAACAGTCTCGGGGCTGATAGGCTTCTGCTCAAACACCACGGAAGGCGTGGGTTTATTCTTCATGAAATTCATATGCATATAACCTTGGCCAGGAAAGGAAGCAAGACCCGGGCGATCTGAATGGTTGATGTAATTGATCGGGGGATGGTCAGGATGGGCATGTAAGGGGGAGGAATGACCGGAATGATGAAGGGAACCCAATTCATGGTCGTCTTCGTCTTCATCAGAATCGGACTGGAAGTGGAGATGAGATCCAGAATTGGAATGGGAGAGGTGAGGGGGCGAAGGAGAAGAAGTATCCACTTGCTTACCAGCAGCAGTAACCACAGAATCGACCTTCTTGGAAGGAGGAAGATTTAGCTCGGGGGATGAGGGAGGAGAAGAGGAAGTAGGGAAATCCACATGAATAAAACGATGCAAGGAATGGCCAATAGATTGAAGGGAGCTAATATAGGCCATGTGAGCGGCGGAAAGAGCATAGCGCTGGTGAATAGCTTCGTCGAGGAAGGAACAGCGCTGGCGGCAGAGAGAGACGGCAGGGAGATCGTCGAGCTTGGAGCTGGCGCAGCCCATCAGTAAGAAAGAGAAAAAAAGAAAAAAGAATTAACGAAAGAGGGGGATGGGAAGGAGTGGGAGAAAAACAGGAAGCATGGCGGGGATGGTGATTGGGAGCAGAAATTAGATTAGTGTCTTAGGGTTTGTTAGGCAGGGGAAGAGAAGAGGGAGCGGGGGGGAAAAGCAGGGGAATCTTTTGCCAGCGCGGAGTCCGTCGTCGGCTTGTACTGGATTGTAGCAGAAAAGAAAGAGAGAGATGGAACGCACTGTGACTGGGGGGGGGGAGAGAGAGTGCGTCGGTGTAAATGATTTGCTTGCGGCCACTGGTGGTAATGCCTATCAATGTCTCACTGGGTGCGTTAAGTTTCTAGTCCCTCTCTTTCCTTTTCTTTTCTTTTTTGCCAATCCAGGCTCTCATTATTTACGATTCATTTTCCGCCCTTTTTCTTTTCGGATTCTCTGTATATTTCTTTTGCATAACCGATTTTCCCGGTCCAGTTCCCGCATAACGCTCTCCCCTCCCCCCCCCCCCCAAAAAAAAAATTTTGTTTTGTTTTCAATTATTTATTATTATTCTACAATTTAAACAAAATACTAATCCTCTTTCTGTTACTTTGTCCTCGCGGAACATGGGTATGAAAAGATCATTTTATCCTTCATTTGTAAACGACGATGCATTGACCAAGTGTTTACCCGAGAAATAATTTTTTTGATTAGATAATATTAAATTCATTTTCACTAATTACCTTTCCGGATATATATAATTAAATGACAGATTTTTCGCACAAAGTGGAAACAAGATGGATAGGTTAATTTAAATAGATTTTTTTTATATCTTATATAATTTAATAATTTTCTTGATATATACATATACTACTCCTCCGGTCCTTAATATAAGACCTAATTGTTGAGTTAATTTTGGTCCTAAATATAAGACTCATTTCTCATATTTATCAATTTTCTCTAAATTACTTCTATGGATACTCCCTCAATTATAATCTAGTAGAAGAGGGAGATGAGGTGTTAAGAAATATGATTATGGTGTTTTTTCAATTAACGTGTCACATTTCTTATAATTAACTAACTTACATTTTTCACTAAAAAAAAAACTAACTTATCTAACTTCCTTAATCTAATCAAATTAGTTAAATGGATCTTATATTAAGGACCCGAAGAGTATTAATTAAAACACACATAATTTACAAATTAAGAGAGAGGGGGATTGCAGTATACAATGAAAATAGGATTGAATCAGAAAATAATGTATCCCCAGTGTGTATAGATCCCACTTTAGGCATGATAAATGGTTTGAGAAATTAAAAGGATGTTTCGGTGAATATTAAATCATAATTTTAAAAATGATTTTACGGTATACAAAGCAAGCATGTGAAAGGAGTTTGTCTCGGTTTTTTAAAAATGCTTCTTAATTAAACCAAACAGCCCCTGAGTATAATATTAAATTTAATTCGGCTGGCAGCGGGGAATGGCAATATGCTGAATCAGATTTTATATCCGTGGAGCGTTTATTATTTTGTGTGATATATAAAGAATTCTTTGCGGTGGGCTTGGGAGTCACATTGGTTATAATTGTGAATTGGCCTGTGATATCAAATTAGGAGCGGATCGAGCACTGCAACTTTGATTGCATCATGATCAGGCGAGCAGTACCTTCACATGTGATCCGATTCAAAAAGGGATCGGAGAGATGCGAGTACGAAGCCTGAACACTCGGATACAGCTCCATTCATTTGAAACACTTCCAGTTCCAGCTATTTTGAGAGCCCGTCCACAGAGACCAAGCTTTGAAACAACATCCCATCCACTAGGAGCACCTCATTTCACAAATTTCTCTTTCACACGTATCGAATAGGGCGAACATTAATCGCTGAGTTTTAAGATAGTTCAAAATTCAAGAATTGAATGGCATGGAGTTATGATTTTTCACCTCGTGCATATTGAAAATATAGATAATAACGCTGTATTTTATTTCATCTCTTTCACACGTGCAATTTAAAATCCAAATTACAACCTGTTATAATTTTGAATTTCTTGCTCCCGTGCAAATTGAAAATTTGAACAGCGTAATTTTTTTTCCCCCAAAATGTACGCCATGTGCCTTATATTATTATTTTAGCTATGACTTATTTTTCAATTTCTTAATCATTGTGCATAATAAATTTTATAGTTAACTTTACAAATTATTTCCGATTACAAATGAAACGGGCACCGAAGGCTCTCCTAGAAAAACAACGGTATATATAAATATATAAAATGGAGCGTCCAATGTACAGTATAATAGAATTTTTATTAAAAAAAATTAAATTATAGTCTATAACTTATAAAAGTGTAATCCAATTAGACACGGTGCAGGATACGGGACCAGGGATGAAGCGTGTTCGGAACAGAAGCTGTGTTTCATTCATTTCCAAAACGGTGAGAAAAACGGACGATACTCCTCTTTTGGTGCTCCAATCAAATACTATACTTCGTATTATTATTATTGCTAATACTTTTCTTAAGATAGAAATAATAATACATTTCATCACCATATATAATAAAATATACCTATAAGATTTATAAATAATAATACTTATTTATAAAACACTAATATCCAATATCGTCTCAGAGTCAGATCAATTCACAACAATTACCAAAAAAAAAAAAATCATGAATTGGCTAGAGGCAATTCATCTGAAATTCCATATAAATAATCGATTAAATGGATACATATTTACTCATCATGGTGATTGATTATAGACAAGAATGGATAAAATTACTAAATTGGATGGTACTATTTCCTGTTCTTAATATAATAGGTAGTTTGACTTTCAATTTGATCATAAGTATACGACCTATATTTATTTTATCTCTCATATTTATTTATTTATTTTAAAATAGTTTCTAGCTGTGCATATTAAAGATTAATGATAGTTTTAATTAATACAGAGATTTAGAGAAAACAATATTGATTACAAATAATTAGTTTAATAAGTTTTTTTTAACCTACTCAAACTACTCAACTGAAGACAACCGATAATATATGGATCAAGCTTGAAAAGAAGAAAATAGATATGGAGATGGACAGATACAGAGACATCGGCATGGCGTGAGGAAGGAAGGCAGAAAGCATGCAGGACGACGAGAAAAGAAGTTGAAGAGAAGAACAACACGGCTGTGCTGTAATTACGGATATGCCCTCGTTGGTCTTTGAATTTGACTGACTCACGCCGCCGCCATATGCATTGCATGGCAGAATTGAATGCCCTCATGTCTCGCTCAGGCGCCTCGCAATTCTCTATCATCCCATCATCCCACTTTTAGATTAATAATAATAATAATAATACCCTTCCGGTTCTAAATATAAGATTCTTATTATACTATAAGGATATTATATGCAGGACCAGAGTAATAATTCATGCAATGTAAAATTGGCATGTATCAACAGTTGTGTGAACCAATTTTTGGAAGGTATATCTCATGTTTCTTTCTTTCTTTCTTTCTTTTGCCAAAACAAAATCTCTTGAAATGCAAAAATAGAATGACAAGAGAAAGTACAGAGCCGTGATGTAAGTAGCTAGCTGGTAAGAGTGTTTAGTTTTGAAAGGGGGGGATGCATGCGCATATAACAAGGGCGTGCCCGCGCTCTCATCAAAATGCTGATAGCAATTAAATGAAATTAATACTGCAACGTGACGTATAATGTAACTAGTGGGTATTTATAAAATTAGGAAAATAAACAAACTAGCTAACAAGTCGTCAAGTGTGAATGGACGAAGAGATGATGCTCAGAGAAGCCTCAAAAACACAAGTCCTACCTTCCTCTGATTTAAATACCAAAGCTTCGCTCTCTCTCTCTCTCTCTCTCTTCCATATATATATATATATATATTAACCGATTAACAGAATGGGCATCATGCGTATAGATGTTGATAATGGGAAAAGTGACGCATGCATACAAGAATAAGAATACTGGTGCTTACGCGAAGTCAACTGTGAAAAGCACACGCCATTTGACCCCACCCCAAATGGACGCCCTTATTAATAAATACTATCTCCTGTAATCTGGTCTTAATTATAAGATCTTATTTATAGATTATAAACGAAGCCTTATAATTAGAATCAAAGATAGTACATACAAGATCAGTATGTGTTTGTATTGATATTGATTTGAAGATAGTGCTAATTAAATTAGTTAATATGATATATTTTTTTAAAAATATTCTAAGTATCTTTTTTAATTTTTTCCTTCCTTCTTTTACTTGATTATTGTTAGAAATATTAATAGAATTTTAAAAAAATTTATAAACATATGAAATAAGTCTTACACGTAAGATTAATATTAACTTCTTACGTTAAGTATAAGAGCAGTTTTAAACCGCATGACATGGCCTTTGTAATCAAAGCAGAGCCCTGTGATCTCCGCGGACTCCACATCCCATCGCATCTCTCATTGTGTTTTGCATGCCATGGATGGAGAGATGAGGGGATGAGTAATCGGGAGCATGTGGCGCGTCTTTTTCTTGGAATATTCAGGCTGGGGGAGCACGTGGGCCCAAAAGTCATTGAGGGGAGGGGATTAGAGCAACCTAACCAAGCCAGTTTGGATTTGGGATTGGGAATGTTACGTTACTTGCTCATTCCTTTGATCAATCTGCTGCTCATCAATATTTTAATCATCCCCCCCTGCCATCACTTCTCCCTTTGACCGCTGCGCCATCGTCACCAACTCTCTTTCTACCAGTAACCCCACTTTTCCTAAATCAACACCCGTCACTGTTTCCACCTCATGCCCCTTCCAAAATTCTTCAGCCTTATTAATTTCCACTTCAAAATTGGGCCCACCCAATATTCATAGGTTTGGTTTTGTGCCCTCACCCGACCCCATTGCCCACATTCATTTGATTTAATCACCTTAATTATGCAGACCAGTAGTTCATTATGCAAAACATATTTTATTCATTAAAAAAATAAATAAATTTTCATATTTTGGAGCTCCTATGCCGTCACCTAAACTTATAGTGTATCCAGAAGAAAATACAAGAATTCACATACACACGCACATAATTGTGCTTTGGTAACCAAAAAAAAAAAAAAACCCTACACATGTTTATCTTAACATATATATAATAATATTTTGATGTTTAACTGGTTGTTTCCATCATTGTTTGGTGCTGTGTTAATAACTTAACGCATCAACGAAAACGAAGTGGATATTGTATCGGTGATTGGTCCGTCGTATCCCCCCCCCCCAAAAAAAACAAAAAAACCATAGCTAACACATCATTGGA